GGCTGAGCATCCCCTGCAGCCGAGCGAGCCACGCGTCTAAGCATGATATAAGGATACGGATGAACTACCTTGATGTGCTAGGAAGTGTCATTACGGGCTATTTGCAGACGTACTGGAATCATCATTTAGATTTTTAAGGCCATTAGGCAAAGCCCCAAGTATCCCGGGTTGTTGGAGCGTCTGGGCTACGTGATCACGCTGGTTACTGCAGCCTTACGGTGCCATGGTGCTGCCACGGGTCCATCCCTTCTGGAGTCTTTTTTCTTACAATTTGCCTAGGCCAAATGTCATTGTAAACATTAGGCTAGGAAAAGGGAATGAAATGGAGATTATTTGGAGAGTATATTTTTTTATTATTTCTTTTTTTGGTTGTTGTCGGGCCTACCGCTTGCATTTTGTGGGCTGCTCTGATCTCCTCTCTCTCTCTCTGCCACCTCCAGAAAGGCCACATTAGACCTGGGCAGGGGTTGAAGAAGAGCAAGAAGGAATAAAGAGTAAAAGGTACGGCAGCGTTTCTGCGCAAGGAACAGTTACAGCGTTCCGAGCTGGTCAGGTGGAAAGAGACAACCCAGTGCTCTAGGACGCGGCCTGTCTTCCTCGTTGACCTGGAGAAGGTGGCTGAGAAACAACTGCTGACCGCCTCTCGTGGTGCAGGCAGCAAAGGTGTCCATCGCAAGGGACAGGAATGAAGCTGAAGACAAGTAAGAACTTTTTCTTGCCGTTTCTGACCAAATCAGGCAACCCACTGCGTAGGAGAAGTTGACATGGGCCCAAAATGCAGCAGGCCATGTTATTGGAGGAAAAAACAATATATTGGAGGAAAGAAATAGGCTGCTGGAGGCAAGAACAAGCTCTCTGGCTGGGGAGTCCTGGGCTGCAGCGTGCCGTGGACCCTGCTGGGGCCACCGCACCACGTAACGTGCGGCTGAGAGCCCTCTGCTCTGAAGCATCTCCTGGGGGCTGTTACTGGAGATGGACTCACGGGCTGGGCTGGGCTGAAACTACCCTGCTTATGTGAAAGCCTGAGGTTTATTTCTGCTCTTCGTCAGTAAGGTGAACTAGTACTTGAGGACACGCTCAAGTATTGGTGTCCCACCAAAAAAATGAACTTGTACGATAAAGTTTAGAACAGTTTCCCTTTGGGCTAATCGCTTGGCTTTGTGTAATGGCAAGTTTTGGCAGAACTGTTTGCAAACTGAAGATTCTGTCTTTGGTTTTGCCCCTGAACTGTGACAGTAACCAGGCTTTCTCCCCCTGACCTCACACCCTCCCAGTTTATTGCCTAATGTTTAGAAACATTTATGGAAAAGCTGGCCAGATGACACTGAAAAATAGTTCTATTTCCAGAAAGCTGGCAGACACATGGAGGTCACTGCTGTGCCTCATGAGATGCATGAACGAAGACTTGCACAACAGCCTGAGTACAGTGAGCAAGACCGCTGCTTGGCCCCAGTTGGCTTGAGAAAGCCAGGAATGTGGCCAAGGAAGTCCAGAAAGGTCCTTCTCATTGCAGGCTTTCATGGGCTGGCCTGGGCTGGCTGCCTCACCCCCTCCAGCCCCTCTCCAAACCTTGTTTTCTAAACCCAGATGCTTTCCTGGCAGCCCACTTTGCTCTGGGTTAGTAGAGGGTGTTTTTCTTCCACAAACTGTTTCCCAGGTGTGAGAAATGCTGTGGGTTTGGACGGAAACACAATGCATGCGGTGGTACCCTGTGCCAGGAAAGGGCATGGGTTTGGAAGGGGGGCTGTGTCCGTGTGTGTGTGTCTGTCCAGAGCAAACCCCCCACAAGACACCCCCGGGGCTGGGAAGCATCCCGCAGGGAGCAGCCCCGGCAGCCGAGGCTTTACAGCCTCTGCTTCCTTGGCGAGAGCGATGGGTACCCCCACGTCCCCCCTCCTGCTACTTTCTAAACCCTGGGAAATGCCATTTGGACCCTCAGCATCTGTATGGCACTTAAAATCAACCACCAGAGGAAGAATACAAGTTCAAAAAAAAATTCTTAATTTATTGTAAATTCTCCTTTCATCTGTGCTGCAATTCCAGTGTTCTGCACATTAATAAATATACATTTGTTAAAAAAGAAAAACACAAAACAACCTCCAGTGTCTAATCTGCCATAAAGCTTTTAAAAAGTCATAAAAATAGGTTTTAATTTTTTTTTGTCATTAATACAACTGACCCTCATTTACTGCAACAATTCTGATCAAAATAAAAACTACCTACATCTCACTGGGACAAAATATACATACACAGATGTAAAAACAACTAGCGTGGGTTATACACAACGCCTGAGCACACAGCCACGTGCCAGACCCTTAAAACATTCAAAACTTTTTTCAGTCAGAAAATGTCACGCAGTATGTTGCATAATTTTTAAAGGAACAGCATCCTTCCTTCCTCTCTCCTTTCCAAAGGTCCCGTCCACACACTTGAAAATGCATAGCAATATAATGAGACCAAGATTACAGTATATATTATTCCATTTTTTTCCTTGACTCCTGCATTTGTCTTAGCCTGATTTTCTGTTTTTTCCCTTTCACACACACAGTTACACAGACGAAAGCCAGCATTTTCCCACAGAGGCTGCCAGGGTGAGCGGGGAGCTCCCGAAAGCCTGGGCGGCGGAGAGGAGGTCACGGCCACACCATTGGCGCCCTCCGAGGCCGCATTCCCACCGCGGGCAGCCGCCAGCAGAGCTCTGCCCACGCTGCTGCATGCAAACTTTTTCACATCCCATTTTCCTTTCCTTGTAAACGCTGCAGGAAGGTGAAGACGGCGGACAGGTCACACTTAACTTTCCTATGCTTGTGAAACCAGCATGTTTGGCGGGAAACGTGAAACCTTAAGCCTCCCATGGGCTTTCTAAAACACCATGAAGGCCAGGGCTTTGTCAAAGAGCTGGGCAGTGAAACCTGGACATCCCTAAGACTCCTATTTCTGCTTTGATCAGCGATGCGCTGACTCCAGTGGGAAAGGAATTAACAGTAAAATAAAATACTGCACCTGAGGCAGAGCTTGCCCCGCGGGAGGAGGGCCCACTTCTTGGGACACGCAGGGCGCTGGTTTGTCGCAGAGCCAGACCAAAGGCAAAACCCACCGTACAGTGACACCGCTTGTTTTCTTGTTCTTGGTAAGGGAAATATTGATTTGACTTCTTCCAGACAAGGTCTGTGTTGAAATCTTAGACTGAGATACGACTTACTTCTAGTCCTGAAGTTCAGTTGCTGAACTTTTTGGTGCACTTGGAGAGAAGAGGTCAAAACACCAAGAAATGAAAAGACAAAACATTTTTTTTTTTGGTGGGTTTTAGAAGAGGTTACAAAAAAACCATACTGTGTCTTTAAAGTGTTCCAAAATCTGTCAACAAAACTTATCAATTACAGTCATGGATTCTGATGTACTCTTTACTGTATTACTTTGAAAACCTCACTGCATCTTAAGGTGGCTTCCATGCAAACCTCAGTTACTTAATCAAATGCCAAATTCAAGTAAAATTGTGCAATGTTCATATAAAAAATATCAAAACCTCTTTTAATTCGGTTCCTACTATCAAATTAAGAAGATCAGTATAAATGTAAAATATACAAAGGAACTTTTTCTTTAGCAACACCATACAAAATATATAAAAGTATCTACACTTTTTATATATATATAAAGGATTTTTTTTTTTCTTAAGACGACATGTCCATAGGGGGGTGGATAAAGATGCTGGCATAGAAACGAAAGGACACTTGTTGGGATATTCCTCCCTAGAGCCCAGTAAGCCGAAGGGTTCACACTGTAGCCGGGCAAAACTGCACGAGAGACGTCTCCTGGTGCTTGTCTTAAGGCTGATGGACTGACTTACTGTAGGTCCACTGCGATAGTAACGTGTTTTTCCCTGGTTCTCCCCAGTAATGAGCCACCCCTGCAGCACTGTCCGCGCCGCGAGCAGGTATCCGTCCCTCACAGAGTATCCCTGTGGCCATTTCCATGCGTTTTGGCATGGGTTCGTGCCGCGCGGAGCGTACCACACAGCAGCTTTATCGCAGGTGCATCCGAGCACCGTGTCTCCACCGCGAGCGGTCCGGAGTCTGCCATAGCGTGAAACCATGCGGGAGTCAATGCCCGCCCCGTCCTCCTCGCTGCGCGGCCACTCCGACAAAGTCCGAGGCGGGCAGGCGGCGACCCCGTGGCGAGGAGTCCAGAACCGCGCAGCAGCGATCACGGTTTCCTGATGGTTCAAATTGAAGTTTCGTTACTGCCTCTGTTAGTGAGAAGAAGTAATCATGCAGGCTTAGGGTTAAACAGGCACAGGCAAACCACTCCACCCAAAACCACCTAATCCTTTTTAGTAAGGGCTCATGCTCTGTGAAGTTACCATGCCTTGCCAATCCAACGCTTGTGGGGTGGGTGCTGCCCCGGAGGGGAAGACCAGCTGGGAGCAACAATTCCAGGTAGCACACGAGAGATGCACTCTTTAGAGGAGGCTCTACGGAGGGCTTGTATGTGGCTAATGCTTAGGTGAAGATGTGAGGTTCACGCACAAGTCTTACAAGCTGTTAGAAACCTGGTATTTCAGACAGACCCATGCATTCTGCTGTCAAATGGCAGAGTTTTACGGTATGCAAAAGGCATGGAGACAAACAGATGCTTAGTACAAGTCGTTGAGTTATTCTCCAGTGATGAACGTATCGCCTGGTAGCAGCAAGCAGTTATTGCTTGTTAAAGACATCCCTGATTCCTGGCTAACCAGGATACATTTCAACAGCCAGTTCCCAGCAACCCAAAGATGTACTTTTATTGTGAGCTGGGAATGGTCTGTGCACCCGGACAAGATGGGTGTCTGAAGCATGGCGGGACAATGCCAGAGTTAAAGCTGGCTGAGAAATCCTCTCCAGGTTTGGAGAAAGAATAAGACTATTTTTGTTAATACAAGGAAGACTATGTGCGTATAATGTTTGCACAGATTTTACGTATGGCTGTTGTGCTCATTTTAAAACTGAGAATTATGATGATTAACGAGGTTTCTGAGAAAACCCTTTGGCTGAAGGCTTGCTCAGCCTTTTGTTAATGTTTGGTTTAGCTTACAACGGCAAATATGCACACCGATCGCCAGGCAGTGGGTGGGAATCGTGCACCTGCTGATTAAGGGTCCCTAGCTTGTCATGGCACTTTCTCTGCAGCCTTTGGTTCTCCTGCCCCAGCAATGGTTTCCCTCTGCCCAGCTGGACACCCACCCCATGCTCCCCCCAGCCTAGCGCCTTTTCCCTCCAAAACACTGCATTTCCTTGGGAGTCCTCTTCACTGGGGTCTTGCCTCCTCCCACCCTCCTCCATGCTGGCTGCTGGACTCCCACAACAGCTCTTGCTGGTCTTACTGGACATGCATGCAGTTTACCCTGCGGTTATCCTCTTCCTTGGGTGCCTGGTAGTGGCCACACTGTAATTAACTGTACCCCATTAGTGATAGGTCCCTAATGGCCCCAAACATTCTCCCTGCTGCAAAGGGGAGGACAGGTGAAAAACAGGAAAAGACAGCTGTTCCCATGGTCCAAGGGGGGGTGAAGATGAGGGGGCAGAGAAGGAGGAGCAGGGGGTAGCCTTGAGCAGAGCACCCCTGAGCGCATGCACGGCTTCTGGGGCCGTGGGTGGGCATTGCTGAGCTGTCCGGGATGCCTGGCAATGTGAGGGAGCAGAAAAAGCCCATCCCTGCCCTGATGATGGGCTGGGGAAGGTGATGGCCTTGGCAGCTCACCAGGCATGGAGGGGACAGATAATTTGTGTGAATGTGGGAGCCTGGTTCGCTGTGACCAGGGGACACCATGCCAAGCACAGCAAGTCCCACAGCAAGGGGATGGGGCAGAGCTAGGTTGTTATAGCCCCCAGTATCCCAGTAACATGTCAGCTTGCCAATTCAGGGTATGCCAGGGTGAACAGTGACAGGAGTCTGTCACAGCACCTTGCTCGTGGTACCTGGTTTTGGCCTTCTCATCAGTGAAACACCGCGGCTTGACGACATGGTATGGATAAGCACTCAGGACAGTCACTGGTGAGGGACTCTGGTCCAGCTACCCAGTGAAATCCTTGCTCAGGGGGAGTTTGGGGCTGGAAAGTGGAAGGAGAGGCTGGAGTCACGGGAGGTCTGCCAGGGCACCCCGATGTGGCACTTACTCTGAGTCTGAGGTGTCAGCATGTCCTGTTCCCACGTGGACGTTCATGGCCATGCCATTTAGCTGGTCTCGAGACTGCTCCCTTCGAGCATTTTTTACTGTCACCCCCGAGTCTGAGGGAGAGCGGACCCCATCATTTGTCCCCAGGGAAGTAGTCCTGGATGAGATTGTGGTCTGATTGTAGTCCGATAGCTTTTCCCGCAGTCGATTCTTCATATTCTTATCCACCAGCGGGGGAGGGTAGGTGACTTTATTTTTTAAGATGCCTGTTACAGAAAAGAGGGAATAATGAGAATTTTGAAACATATCAGTAATTTCATTTATCAAGCTGAACACATCCAAGAAGTGACATTTTATATATCTTAATCAGACTTCCAGATTGCCACTTTATTTCAAAACCAAGATATTAGACTTCAGCAACTACCTGCTAGCTTCCCATGGCATGCCTGGTTACACAGATTGGAACCATTTGGAAAGTGTTCTTCCCTGACAGAGCTACCAAATGAATTAATTAATGTTCATTAACCCCCCAGTCTCCAGCTGTGAGCCTGGGTTGGCCATGCTACCTTTCCTCTGCTCTGGCTGCTGG